GAGAAAACAGAGAACCTCCCTCTTTTCATATTCCATTCCTTTGAAATAAAGGCCAACATTCAATTTGAAGGCAAAATACTGCAGATGCTGGAAATTTGAAAGAAACACAGATAATGCTGAACTTGCAAAGTCAACTGTTTCTCTCACCAAAGGTGTTACCAAATCTGGATGTTTTTCCAGCATTCATGGTTTAGTTTCAACTGTCTATTTGCCTCCCTGTTACTGCTGAACTTGTAAGCCAGATTTTTGTGATTTATGCACATGTACTCCCAAATCCCTTGGTACTGAAGCTTCCTGCAGTCTTTCTCCATTTGAAATAATATTCAGCTCTTCTAATTCTCCTGCCAAAGTGCATAGCCTCATACTTTCCCATGTTACATTCCATCTGTCAGGACTTTTCCCCACCTGCTTAACCAGTCTGTATCCCTCTGCAGACTCTTCGTGATAGCCTCACCATTACCTTCCCATCTACTTTTGTGTCATCTGTAAATTTAACTTTAATACGTTCACTTTCCTCATCCATGACATTAATATTTATCGCAAATAATTATGGTACCAGCACTGATTTCAGTGACACTCCACTAGTTACAGGTTGCCATCCTGAAAATCCTACCCCCCCACACTCCCCTTATTCCAACTCTCTGTCTTCTTAGTTAGACAGTCTCTATCCATGTAAATATACTACCTCCAACACTGTGGACTCTGATCTTATTAAGTAGCCTAATGTGTGGTACCTTACAAACACCTTCTGGAAATCTAAGTATACTACATCTACTGCTTCCTCTTTACCCATTCTGCTTGTTACCTCCTCAAAGAATTCTAGTAACTTTGACAGGCATAATTTCCCTTTTGTGAAACTATACTGACTCTGCTTGATCATACACAGTGTGGAAGCTGGCCATTTGGCCCATCGGATCCACACCAAACTAGGATCCACCCCCTATCCTATCCCTATAACCCTGCTTAATCCATAGCTAATCCGTCTAACCTATACATACCTGGACACCTTGGGTAATTTAGCATGGCCAATTCACCTAACCTTCACATCTTTGGACTGTGGGAGGAACCCTGAGCACACCGAGGAAACCCAAGCAGACACAAGGAGAATGTCTAAACTCCACACAGACCTGAGGGTGGAATTAAACCCAGGTCCCTAACGCTGTGAGGCAGCAGTGCTAACCACTGAGCCATCATGCCATCTACATATCATATATTACCACGTTACGTATTTTTAAATGCTTTGCTATTACATTCTTTACAAATACACTTTCGATATCCACTAAAAGTTCCCATAGTACATTTGAACTTAAAACCTTTGAATGTAAATTACATTCAACTGCATTGGTTACATGATACCATTTTACATTATCAGAAAGGATTCACAAAATTAAGTGAAAGATATTTTATACTTTTTTAGGTGAGGGATGGGAAAAGAAGTATGTGTTTTACTTGGGGCAGAGGGTTATACTATACTGTTAAAAGTAATGGTTGTATTGGTAGTAAAGGAAATCACTGCAGTCAAAGTATTGAAACATTTCTTTAGTCCGGTAGATTTAACACAGACTTGTTCCAATGATCCTCAGTCTCCTCAAGTTGTGCACAGAACAAACTTCACTCAACAGCTCCAATAATAACCATCACCAGGCCTCAGAGCATTAGGGACTGAGCAGAACTCTAGTTTGGTGATGTTACGTAGAGTGACACTGCAATGATTCGGATGCTTTAGGGAGGGAGTGTGTACAAAATCTTGATCCTCTAAATATAGCGGTTGTATTTGAAATACATCTCACTATAAATAAAAACCTTTGAATCACTCAGTTCTGAGGACACATGCCGATGCAGATTCTTTTACAGAGCTTTCTGTTAATTTTAAAGTGATCGCCTTAAAAGGACCAAAAATTATAGCATCAAATAATTTGCCTTCTAAATGGTTTGCCCATACATGTCACTAAATTCTGAAACACATGATGCTTTATCAGACCAAATAAACTCTTTACAAGTATACAAGAACTGAGAATCATGGCAAATATGTTTCTCTTATTGTTTTTCGGTCAATGTTCTTGCATTAAATGTTGTCATATGTCATTCATATGGCACATTCCTTTCTTCTTCCATTTATAAGCAACTTTTTTTTTGAGTGTAGTTCACCAATAGGAGCGTCCCAGTTAAATTTAGAGTCTTTAATGTGAAACATTAAACCACATTTCACTATGTAAAAGAACATTAAACTGAAACCTTGCTAGTGAGATGAAGGTAATAAATATAGTTAACTAATCACTTCTGTGGTATAGCAGAAATAAGGGTTTATTCTGCAGGTGCTATGGTTTTGAATGTTGTTCTGTTCTGCTCTCATTAAAACTCCGACATTGTGGCATTGACATTTCACACCCAGGCTCTAAACAGGCACATAAGCTTCCAGTATTGTGGGCAAGAAGCACATGTTCATTTCGAACCAGAAGTGCACCATCTGCACTTTGGATTGGTGTTCCCTGTAATCATACAGAACTGTTTAAAGCAATGAATAATTTATGTAGATATGATTCCTAGACATTGATATGGTAATTTTAGTAAGTTCTGAAGCTCTGCAAACATTGGCACCCACTGCCAAGATGCCAACTATCTGAGCTTCCATTACAGATGTGACAGATTTGAATGGAGCTGACCACTCAGTCTGTGTTGGATAGAGTGTCGTGTCGAGGGCATAGGGCAAGACAAAATAAAGCTACATTGCCAGTCGTTTTGGCAAAAAAGCTATGATGGCCAACATGCTTTATTTAAGGATTCACTGGTGGACTCGTCTCCTCTGCTTCATCCTATTTGAGTCATTTTTAGGCACGATCATATTTCTAGATCTGTAAAATGCTGCAGATCCTAAATACAGACAGAATAGCAGCAAAGCCTTCTGTTCATGGGGATGAGGTATTAGAATCCAAATCCGATCCCAAATTTGCATAACTCAATTTCAACACTGTTTGTATTTGTAGGGCAGGATACTGAACAATGCAACTTGCAGTGCATAGGCAAAACTCAGTTTTACAATAACACTGAAAGTATATGTAGTACAGCTATCCAACGATCTCAGCAGGTGAAGGAGAAACATCAGTGGAGCTACTAAAACACACAGAAGATTGGGTGCCAAACAGGACAAGATTCATACCATGAAAAGTGTGTTCAAATGCTCTTGTGCATCTCACTTCAATAGACCCACGTGTACAATTTACTTTCAAATTTTTAGGCATATCCTACTCTCTTTGAGGCACAACAGATCAGTTCTATAGATTTCGATTGGAGACCACTGAAGATGAGATATAGATAAATCAGGATGAAAAATTTTGGTGTTTTCTTACTTCAGCATATGACTTGCTTTGAAGTTTGAGCGCAACAGTTTTGGCACATATGGTACCGTATGTATTAACCTACTTGCTTGGTAATTGCCTTTTATTTACAGTTTAGTAAATGGTTTACTTTCTCCTATGCCTTTCCCAATTGATACAAGTGCGTAGAGACACAAATAATCAGGTTACTAATGTGCATAGCTTTATGGTGCCCTCCCTTTGCTCCAGGTGTCTGCTGGGATAACAAAAGACTGTACATGTTGCATTCGGGCACATTTCCACCACACCGAAAAGCCAGGCTTTGAGGTCTCATTCAGGTTAATGCAACAGCAGTCAGGCGTCTGTGATGAAGCTGTATTCCTGTTCCTGCCAAAGTAATTTCTGAGCAAAAATAAAAGGTTCAAGGCTTGTCAGCATTAGCAGCTAGATAGCTGCTTAGACCTAATGAGAAATTGGACATTGCTAGACTCTGAGCTATCTTGCCAGAGTCATTTTTCCTGCTTGCCTTTTGTTGTAACGACAGAAAGAGATGTTGTTCAATTAAAACCTCTGACCTGTTGTGGGCTGTTGGAGGCAGCCCATTTCATGATGGTGATGTGAGTGATTGGCAAAATTTAGACAGTTTTGAACCATGCAACATTTTTCAAAGTTGCTGTTATATTCAAAGCAACAACAAAACAAAATCATTGACACTTCCTGTTAGCTGGTTTCCTTGGTGACTATATATTCCCAGGAGAAATTTAATATTATTAAATTAGATTTCTTCTGATGTCAATAAATTAAAAGGATAGATTGTCCTTAAGGCAGTGATCCTGCTCGGATTTGGTATAAACCATAATTTCATCTTTCATTTAGCAGTTATAGAATGCTAAAAACACAATTGGTTTAAAATGTCATTCTGCTTACCTGCTGTAAATATTCCTGCAATTTACGCTGTCTGTATTAGAAAAGTTTGTACTTTATTCAGAAAGTAAGTGAAGATCATTAGGATAAGCAGAATAACATTGAGCATTTGTTTAAAATTTAATTTTAGATAGAAAATGTTATCAATGCAAAATTTCTTCCCCTTGATTCAGCAAAAATAACTTGATAAATTCCATTTCTTTTATAATGTTTTTATTTACAGTATGTGGATGTTACGTTTTGGCTAGGAAATATTCCCAATGGAAGCTATTTTCCTCAGTGTGCTTCTCTTATTTTTGATAGAAATATCTTTCAAAACTTTTGCTGTCTTCCTAATCAGCATTACTGTACATCTCTTCCTGAAACAAAAGCAAGCTACCTAGAACTTTGGTTACTAATTGAAGTAATTTCTAAATCAAGGGGAAGGTGTATAGAGATATAATACCATGTACATTATTTTGTTGTTAAAATGTTTTGTTGGATTTGTTTTGCACTTGCTAGCAATGCATTGAATATGTTGCTTTTTACTGATAGCACAATTTAAAATCTGGTTTAAGCAGTATTATACAGGTATAAATTAACATCATTTATTGATTTATTGTAAAGTTACTTGTCCTAAAGATGTCATTTTTAAAGTTTTACACAGTATATCATTCCTGGAGCCCTTTAATTTAGATCACCCATCATAGTGCACCGTTGATTTGGTAATGAACAATTATACTTCCCATGTATTTATTAAACATTATTTTTGTTCTTTTCCAGGCGTGCGCTTAGATAGAGTACGTGGAGGACGGCAGAAGTATAAGCGCAGGATAGATGCAGAGAACAGCCCTTACTTGAACCCTCAGCTGGTTCAACCAGCCAAAAAGCCATGTGAGGACAACAAATTAATTTATGTTGTATTGTACAGGATGTCCATTAACATATACAGCTTCAGCACATTAATTTACAATCTAATGAAACAATGACATGTCTTATCTATTTCAGTATACTCACCCTGCACACATAACCAGTTAAAGAGTTTGCAAACAGATGGGAGTGATAATAGGCAAAGCTAATCCAGTCTCCATTTTATAAATCGCCAGAGTTTATTTTTCATCAAGGGTATCTTGGTATACTTTGCGAAAAATGATGTACAGCCACGTGGAAATATTTTGAATTGTCCGTATATTTTTTTCCTATGCTGTTCAGTTAAAAGACAAAGCTTCTTGCAGCAATGCGCTGAAAATGTATTTTATTTTGAATTGGAATTTGGTTAGTAAAAGATAGATTGGACATATCAAAGAGATTTTGTTTTATTTTGTGCTTTCCAAAAAGTTCTAAATGTCTTTAAATTGTCATTTTGTTTGTACTTGTGGCCTCATGTCTGTGATTTAAAATGAGGATTATTAAACAATGTCAAACATATTAAATATTGACAGTATTAAACATATCTGTGGTATGTTTCCTCTGAGCCTCTAAGCTAACCATAGTGTTAAACTCAAAACACTAGAATGAAGATTACAAATCCTGCATAAGCTGGATATTGTCTTTATAAATCTTTAAGCTTTTATGATGAGGCTTTGCCGTCAAGAAAGTGCGCGTTAAATATTGTGTGCTTTCTCGCCTTTCTCCTTATGTGACAGTTAACAAAAACTGCAAAGAATAAATATTGCACAAAATATCATTAATGATGCATTGCAAAACTGATTGAATAACTAGATTATTTCTTTTAAGTTGATTAGATTTATATTTTATTGGCAAGTAATTTAAAATCATATGTGTATGGGCCAATATTAATAATTCTTTTGACCATGAGAAAGATACTATAATTTTATTGCATGGCTTTTGTGATTTTTGAGCACAGTTGTGCATAGCCATGGACAAGGCAGTGGCTGTTTATATTTTCTGGTATATTTCTTCTATTAACTAATAAATAATTAAGTATAGCTGAAAGCAATTCATGGAATTTCAGATGTTAGTTGAACTAGAGCTCACACTTTTACAAGGGTGGTGTAATATACCATATTGATGAAACACTGCCTTCACATTTACATTTCTGTAAATTACATTATATTAATATTTTGCAATGAAGTCTTGACCATCAGAATCAAAATTTTAATATATATATCCTAATAACTGAACATGCTTAGTATTTTTTTTTCTTGAGTGTTTTCCTTAAACCTTCAGTGTTTAGAATGATAAATTCCTTTAAAGTTTTAATTTTAAATTAAGGAACAAAACTTTGTTTATTTAGTTTATCTGAAAAATTCAAAAGCAGATATCTGTAATTCTTAAGGGTGTGCACCCTGCCTGTCAGATTTCCTTACTGAATATATAAAAATGTAATATGGTGGATCTTAGGGTATACAATACTAAGTTTATGGAAGTGGAGGATAATATATTCAATGGGTAGGCTATCAGAGTTGGCTATATGGCTAGCATGCAGAATAATGCCAACAGCACAGATTAATTACCTGTTCTGGCTAAGGAAAGCATGAAGCCAGTCTCTAAGGGTATTGAATGAAGAGAGATTAGAAATTTCTCGAGCCTTGGCCATAACTTTTCATCTCTCCCTATAGGTGGAGAAGGTTTCAGAGGAATGGAGAATTGATGACATTATGCCCATGTTCAGAAAAGGTTGTAAGGATAAGCCCAGTGTCAGTTAAACGTCAGTAGTGGTGAAGCTTCTAGAAATAATAGAATTAATAGTCTCATGGAAAAAGCGGAGTTGTTTAGAAAGAGCCTGCATGGATTTCTAAAGGGGAAATTGTGTTTGAATAGCATTATGGAGCTTTTAAAAGAGGTACCGGACAGGTTAATGGGGGTAACACTGTTGCTGTAGTGTACGTGGACTTTGAAAGGTATTTGATACAGTGCCACACAGCAGACTTGTGAGAAAAGTTGTAACTTATGGAATAAATGTGCACAATATTGAGCAGCACACTAGAGGAAGGGTGTGAACGCATTGGAGAACAGGCAGAAGAGGTTTACAAAAAATGGTTCCATACATGAGAAACTTCAGTTATGAGGAAAGATTGGAAAGGTTGCGACTGCTTTTCTTGCAGAGAAGAATGCTGAGAGCTGACAGACGCTTTCAAAATCATGTTGGCTCATAAAAGGATTGAGATTGAGGAGGCACAGATTCAAGTGATTTGCAGACATGGCAATAATGATGCGAGAATAAACTTTTTCATGCAACGAGTGGTTCAGATCTGGAGTGCACTGCCAGGAAACTTGGTGGAGGCAGAGTCAATTGAGATATTCCAGAGGGCATTGGATGATTATTTAAATAGAAACAATGTACACAGGTATGGAGAAAGGACAGGAGAATGATGAAATCATAATGATCGTAGGAGAACAGCGCAGACAGGATGGGCTGACTGGCTTCCTTCAGTCCTGTAACAATTGTGTCATTCCTCATGTTGCCCTGAGAGTGAAGGCAATGTAAAACTACCATTGGCAAACCAAAATGGAACAGCTCAGGATGACTAGTCAATGAGCCATGCGACGTACCTTCGGACAGAGCACTCACAAATGAACAGTGTTCGCTTTTTACTTTGTGAGATGTGACATCATCTTAAGTTTCCCTAGACTTTATATAAAATTCAGAGGAACTAGCAGTGGATTTTTTTTTTTAAAAAAAGGTCTTGTTCTAAAATACTTTTTTAACAGTAAATAAATATTGTAGTTATATTGCACAATACATTTCCTGTGCCATTGTAGTATTTTTGAAATTTGAATCTTCTTCTTTTGTACACTAATCCAGACAAACAATTAACTGTAATGTCTGTCTGTCATGCCACTTGACTAAACGCCTCATCTGGTTGTAAAGTACATAGGTCTATACACAGCTGACTATCGACGATGTCTGTGATCATACTTAACTTGATATTCGTGATTTATGAGATATATGTATAATTCCGCCCCCTCGTTAAAATTGCTAGGTAAGGTGTTTAAAGCTTATATTAAAAAAGGTCAGCTTAAAAGGACATAAATTTCTCGATGCCTATTTAGCTTTACTAAATACTTAATTTCTCTTTTTTAGCAATCCTTTTTCCTCTTTAATACAACCGAATCTTAATAAGATTGCGTTGTTCTGTGAGCCATTTATTTTGGCGAGTCTTAGCACTTGCTTATCATTACTCATTATCGAAAAGCTGTTGTGTTAATTTTCTTCAGTTTATTTAATTAGCAGCTTATCCAAAAACACAACATTTATAAAATACGTGGTCAATTTTCAACTTGTGTCAGGAAGTGTAGTATGTCTTGCACTTGGATGTAGTCTAAGAGATTTTCTGGATCCTGATTGATTATTTGTGCATAACAAAGCCATTTTGATGAAAATTGGGTTGTATTGATTCTAATTAAGGCAACATTAAATAAGATTTACCAAGAGATACTGCTTGCAGCTACTCAATTCCCTGAGTGATGAGGCTGTCGAAACTGACGCAAACATTTCTCGCTTTCTTTTGCCTGGGCCTTCTATTCTAGTCAACAAGATTGTCTCACACTTGCTTGTGGCTGAGCCAGAGAAGATCTATGCCATGCCTGATCCCACCATTCCGGAGAGTGACATCAAGGCCCTCACTACACTGTGTGATCTGGCTGATCGAGAACTAGTGGTCATCATTGGATGGGCAAAGCATATTCCAGGTAAAGAAAGAAAACAAAAAGATTCATTTTAAAGCGTGTAGCAAAACTAATTGCACTTCTGCATTTTGGTTTCAAAATTTCTACAGTCAACATACCACAGAAATGATGACATTAGCTGCTTTATTTTTCTGATGAAAACTGAAGAATGTTCACTATGTTATTACATTATTCAACTATATAAACACAACAAGTCAAGACAGTAATGATTTAAGATTTCCTAGGGTGGTATTCATTTGTAGGATACTTTTTTTTTATCTCTGTCGCCAACTACTTTTAGTTCTGTTTGAGCTAGAAACACCTGAAAGCATGGACAATGATGTGAAATATGAGAAAATATGGCAAGATTGAAAAAAAAAATTTGATTGTTGACATTAAGGAAAAAAAATCCAATTCTCCCCCTAAGGTTTCAATGGTGAAATCAGAATTTTAGTGATAAGCAGTGACTGTTGTATTTCCATGCATTTGCATCTCAATAATATCCCAACTCAACTCATTTATATGTAGCTCCTCTCCTGAGAAACCAGCCGGTGACAATTCCCAACTTGAAAGAGTGGTTTCCTGGTGGATGCCTTTCTGGCCCTCCATTTTAATGTACCTTCACCAACATGTTCCTGACAGCATCCTCTTTCATCCTTTGACCACCAAAGTTAATATCAACAAACAACCAGCCTCACCACATTTTCGTGGCTGATGTTGGAATCCCACTTCAGTCTTTCAGTAGTTCATGTTGAGGTTCAATGGCATCGATCCCTTACATGTTTTTGCCAGGTCACTTTGCCCACAGAGACATAAAGACACCGCATGCATCTACACAGGATGTACCTTACAACATTGTTTTTTTTTTGCACACGCTGACTTTGCGCTTACTTCATGGCTGCCAACCTTTGGTGTGGATTGCAAAATGTTTTAGCCAGAGGGCAGGAAGAATGAGAGATTGTGGAGGATGAGCCACATGAGAGCCAGTGAGTGGAGATGCTGCATGCAACAGTGAGGTTGGTAGTCAATGAATGCTGGTGAGGTTTGTGTGCAGTGACAGAGTTAGAGTGAATGTAAGGCAGCAGAGAGCAGATGGCAGCCTGTACTCTTGCAGAGTGCAGAAGATCAGTAAATGCTGCCTTGCATTCTGTCTGACCCTGGAGACAATGCTGACCCAGTCTGCTATTTTTGGTGCTGTGGCCTCCGCTGGTGGTCCGCCAGGCAGAGGATGGACCTCCCCTCAACCACCCTGTCTACCAGGACCTCCAGGCCACTGACTGGAAAGCAGGGTGCCAGCTTCAATTTCTGAGATGTTTCAGTTTCATAAGAGGACAGTTCTTAGTTGTAGCTTTTGAAATGTTGCGCAGTTGGGCTTTAAAATGGTGCCAGCAACTTGCACACCCAAGGTCCTGGCCACAGTGTGAGTTTCACCTCTCCTGCACTAGAACAACGCCAAAGAGGCCAGTTGTATAATTAATGAGGAGGGGAGCACAAAATCACGAGAGAATGTTCATTCTGAATGGGACACACGCCATGAAACTCCTCCAAAATAACACAACTTAAAAATGGAAAAATCCACCCTATGTTTATGGATGGTGGGAATGAGAATTTGCGGGGAAGGTGAATCCCATCACATGACTTAAACAGTCTAACCGTTTCATTATCACGGCCATCTTGCCCATTGACATGCGTTAAGTGAGACACAATGGCATGTGGCTCCACTCAACATCTTATTGTTAAGCAATAAGAGGAAGAAGGGTCCAGACCCGAAACGTCAGTTTTCCTGCTCCTCTGATGCTGCCTGGCCTGCTCTGTTTATCCAGCTCTACACCTTGTTATCTCAGATTCTCCAGCATCGGCAGTTCCTACTATCTCTTTTAAGGGCAGTGTTTGTGTGTAAGGTTGCAACAGCAAAAACCTACTTCATAACTTTCTGAGACTTAATGGGGTTATTAGAAGATCCAACTTTCACTGAGTTTTACTAGGTACTATTTGTTTTTTTGTAATGAGACGAGACCTGCTGTTTCATTAATCCTTTGCAGACCTGCAGCAATACTTCTGCTTAAATATCATAGAATGGTTACAGCAGAAAAGCAGGCCATTTGGCCATCGTGTCTGCCCAGATTGCCTTTAAAAGCGACTTACTTCCATTCCCCTGCCTTCTCCTGGTATCCCTGCAAATTCCTTTCCTTCCAATCATTGTCAGTTCTTTTTAAAAGCCATATCTGAATCAGCCTTCACAACATTTTCAGGCATTTAATTCCAGATTCCATCCACTCCAGGATAATTTTTCCCCTCATCACTGCTGCTTCTTTTACTACTCAAATTTAATCAGTGCCTTCTGGTTCATGAACTTTGTGAAAAAAAAAATAGTTTCTGTCTAAGTAAAAACCGAAAGAACTGCGGATGCTGTAAATCAGGAACAAAAACAAAGTTGCTGGAAAAGCTCAGCGGGTCTGCAAAGGAAAAAAAAGAGTCAACGTTTCGGGTCTGGTGTCTCAGTTCTGAGGAAGGCTCACCGGACCTGAAATGTTAACTTTTGTTTCCTTCACACAGACCTGCTGAGCTTTTCCAGCAATTTTGTTTTTGTTCATAGCTTCTCTCTATTTTCTCTATCTTAGTCATTTTGAAGCCCTCTACTAAATCAACTCTTAATCTTCTCTTCGTCAAGGGATACAGCCCCAGCATCTCCAGTCAATCCATGTAACTGAAGTTTCTCATCGCTGAGTCTGTTCTTTTGAATATTTTCTGTACTCCCTCTAATGCCTTCATCTATGGTGTGGTGACCAGACCAGATACAGTATTCGAGTTAAGGATGAACCAGTATTTTATGCATACCCCCTTGGGTCTATATTCTGCAGTCTTGTTTATAAAGCACAGGATCCCAGATGCTTTACAATTGCTTTCCTCGACCTGCCATGCCCCTTCCAGTGACTCATGTAGATACAGCTCTCCCAGGTTGGAGGTGTGCCCCTACATCTCCTGAATTGTCGAAGAACAAGAGACACACTATCAAAAGCTTTCTGTTTTGCACTTTTAAGGGCAGATACAAGAATGACAGATTTCAAAGGGAACAGCATTTATACCGTATGATAAAAGGGTGTTGATCGGTTGTTAATTTGAATCAAATTGGTTAAATCACAACCATGGAGTAATTGTTGTCCTCCACATTTTTGTTCAGTCTGAGAAAGGTGCAATGTCTGGACATGTCCCTTTTTCCTGCAGAATTGCAGGCTGTTCACAATAGCAGAGTCCTCGACCAAAGTGTGTTTTGTAAAACTCAGAATGTAATGCCTAAAATTAGATGTCATCCTGTGTTTGGACAACACTTGTGGAACAACCCCAAATGCACTAATAATTATACTAACAACCAATATAAGCTTATTATTAAACTTGCTAGAAGCTACATCTGTACATGCTCAAAGACCTGTCTTCTCAAAGATAAAGGAACATATCTAGGCGTTGTGCCTTTTCTTTTAATTTAAAAAAAAGGACTATGGGTTACATTGATTCCCTCACGTATTCTCCATGTGAACCCTCGACCACTCACAGTCAGCTCTGCAACCAATTAGTGATATAACTTGTTGCTGCCTTTGACATTCTTACATGTGTCCTGATGAGTGCAAGAGAACAAGCTTCTACAGCATGTCCCCTATTTCAGCAATACTGATGTTTGGAACTATGAAGGAACCCTTCAGAATTGTACCTTTTGTTTTCTATTTTTTCTCATTCTTCCTCAAAAAGTAGATCACGTCACATTTTTCTGCATTACATTTTTTTTGAAGCTTTAACTATCTGCCATAAATTTCACCGTATTTACAAGTTTTGTGTCATCTGCAAATTTTGAAATTACACCCTGGACACCCATGCTTATGTCATTAATAAATACCAGGAAAAGCAGAGGTCCTCATAGTGACTCCTGTGAAACAGCACTTAAGGTTCTCAGATGTGGAGCCCCTTTCCTAGCTCTTGTGCCTCTCTATTTGCCTTTGCTGTTTTAAGTCAGTCTATAAAACCTATCTTTTTGGCCAAGATATTTCCATCAATCTTAAATCCCCTTATATGGCTTAATGTCAAACTTTATAATCTTCCTGTGACTGAGCTTGGGACATTTTATGCTTTAAAGAGGTTATCAACTATGAGTTGTTGCTGTATGAAAATATCTTTGCATTTTGATGCAAGATTTATCCATCAATAAGGCATCATCATTAAATGGCCCTTTCCAAGTAAAGTGTTGACAAGTTATTCTTTTTTTTAAACTACAGTTGAACATTAAAAGTACACCATTGTTCCATAAGGGAGTAAAACATTTCGGATGACACTTTAATGAAAAGCACTCCAGTTGTCACGGAAAGTGGTTATGCAGATCAAATATCCCTCTTATAGTCAAACAAAGGAAGGATGACGCAACTTAATTTCTCTTGGCTGTGACTTTCTAGAATGAAACAAACCATCTAGTTCCCCAGTAATCGACAATTTGTTCTTGGTGTCACAAAACAAGTTGATTCACTCCCCTTAGAACACTTATGCTGTGGTGGCAGGGTACAAGAGTATAAAATATTGCAAAAGGTTCAAAAGAAACAAAGCTTTTAGTTGAAATAATTTGTAGTGAATTGTAATGATGTGACCTTCGATCTCATCTTAATTTTTGATTGGTGATCACTATTGGTTATGTTTCGTACTTGAGTGCTAAGGTCTCGAGCCAGTAAGGCATTATTTGAAGATAATATAATTAGTTATGTCTGCATTTAGACACATCTGATATGATTCTAATTTGGAAGTGCCATCAAAATGTGGAAACATCTAAAAATCAAGCAAGGTATCTTTTCAGCTGTGTATGCAACAAACAACTTATCAGCAAAGCTAAGAAATAAAATTGCCATTTTGGTGTAACACTTTGAGGTTGAGTTGCTTGGTTTTGCACTGTTGTGGCCTTTAACAGGTTGTTATTATGACATTTCAAAGGAGCAGTGAATTGGGAATTGGATCCTAAATTAACCCTTGCTGTGCCTTGACTGAAAACT